CCAATCAAAATCAAGAATCTATTCATAGATCATTCTAGAATGCGATTTCCTAATTTGGTATATTCCCAGACTGTATTTACTAGATATTTGTATATACGGGAAATTTTATGGAATAATAGTCAGAGCACGTGGCCTTCGGCCACGTGCCCAACTATTATTTCATAAAATTCTCCGTATTCACAGATATCTAGTAAATAACAAAAATGTATTTCTTGATTCTAGTATTACATTTCCTATTAAATATTTTTAGAACAATATGAAGCTATTAATGGATTACTGTCGTTAATAAGGTACAAAAATGAATCAGAACTGTTTATTTACTTGCCCACTAGAAACATTTACATTTCTGTTTATAATAAATTTAAAAAATGCTTTTATAGTGAAAATGATCAAAATAAAAAAAATATTTTTTATTTTACTTTTAGAAAACTTTGGCAAGAAGTAATTTCTTATTTTAAATTTCAATCACCCACGAGTGATCTTTGTGAAGTTTGTGAAAGTTTTAAAGCAAAATTATTAGTAGCAAAGTCTGATAAAAATAATATAATCAAATTAAAGTTTAATATGATCAGTACTGTGAGGTAGCAAATCAGAAAAGACAACATTACAACAATAATATAAATAAAAGTGCAAAGAATTTATCAATTGCACATGTTTGCTATGATTAGACACAGTATGTATCAATTCCATACTCTCTGCAGCAAGTAGGAGCAATTTTTTTAAAAGTCCATTTTCAGTTTATTTGTTTGGTATATATAAAACAGAAGGTGGTCAAAATTCTCAATTAAACTTTGTAATAGGTGAAGACAAATTTCTAAAAGGTATTTCTAAAGGTGCTAATATCACACTTAATATAGTTTATTAGTTTCTTCAAAAATTTGCCCATGAAGGGAAAAAAATTGCATATTACTTGTGATAACTGCTGTGGTCAAAATAAAAATAATCTATTGTTTTTTTTTTATTGTTAGTTAATAATGTTGGGTTGTTATGAAGAAATTACGGTAAATTTTATGATTCTGGATATACAAAATTTATTTGTGATTCTTTTTTTAATAAAATAAAAAATTATATCGAAATCAAAAAGTAATACATTGGTTGATATTAAACAAGTTATCAATAATTCATCTAAAAGAAATACAGCAATTTTATATAACAACAAATTAGGTTAGATGTGAAACAATTTTTCTTTATTATTTAACAATCATTTTAAACATTTTTCTCATATAAAACAATATCATCATTTTAGATTTAATAATTTACCTAATGATATCAGAAAAGTTTATGCATCATAAAATCTGGAGAGAAAGAAGTACCCTTTCAATTATTATATAACAATAACTTTAATGTACATGCTATGCTAAAAACTATAAATATTAAACTGTTAACAAAAGAAAGAAAACACTATTTGTACACAAAAATTAGACAACATGTAGACAATCTATACAAAGATGTATACTGTGCAAATTCTGATACTAATAAATAAATAATATTAGTTATTTATTTTAAATATATTTTTTTGAATCACTTTAGTGCATAGAATATAATTAATATAGTTTATCAAAGAGAAAAAAGTAAGGAAGCCAGTAAAAAAAAAAATAAAAATTCAGTCAGAGGAATAATGCATAAACCAGAAGCAATAAATCTGCAAAAAAGAACCAAAGTTGTAATGATAAAAAAAAAGATAAGAAAAAAAAGTGCAAGATTCATAAAAAAAAATATATATACCAATGAGAATTAGCATCTAGACTAAATACTGAAGTAATGGTAGGTAGATCTATAGCAGTGATAGAGCTCAAGGTAATAACAAAACAAAAAACTTTAAAGAGAGAAAAAGGTAAGGAATTCGGTAAAAAGGAAAAAGCGAAACCTAAAGTAATAAGAAAAATATATATACTAGCAGAGATTAGCATCTGAACTAAATACCAAAGTAAATGATGGTTAGATCTACAGTAATAACAGAGCTCAGTGTAGTAACTGAACTAAACACCAAAGTAATGATGGTAAATCTACAGCTCAAGGTAGTAATGAAATTAAAAAACTTATAAAGAAAAATAAATAAGGAATCCAGAAAAAAAGAAAGGGTAAAACCTAAAGCAACAAAAAAAAATAAGCATATTAGCTAAAATTAGCATGTGAACTAAGACTGAAGTAATAACAGATAGATCTATAGTGGTGACAGAGCTTAGAGTAAACAAAGATATAACTAAACTAAACACCAAAGAAATAACAGATAGATTTACAGTGGTGACAGCTCAAGGTAGTAACAAAAATGAAAAACCTACGAAGAGAGAAAAAGGTGAAGAATCTAGCAAAAGAAAGTACAAAACCTGAAGTAATAAAAAAAAAATGTAAAGATTAGCATTTCAACTAAATACTAAAGTAATGATAGGTAGATTTGCAGTAGCGATAGCTACAAAGCTAAGAACTCAAGGCAAAAACAAAAAGTATACTTATTCAAGTTTTTTAATATCAAAAGATAGATTACTTTAACTGATTATTATTATTCAATATAAAAATTTGCAGAAGAATAAAGCTTCATCAATAATAAATTTACATAATAAATAGACTTAAATTTATTTTTTGTTTCTGGCAAATTTAATTCGATATAATAGTATTAAAGTTTTTTGATAAATAGCCAATAAAATTTTAGAGATCAACAACCAGGTTAGTTTATTGTCTATGTAGATCTATTTTTAGATTTTATATTAAAACAATCTGGCATCGAATAATTCATTTTCACACTAAGATAATATAGTATAAAATTTATATCATACAAACCTCCTATATAAGAGATTAATATATAACAAAAATCTTAATTTTGATTAGAGAGATCTTAAAACTCTATTTTTCTAGCAAAGGTCCCATATAATTCTTTACTACAGCCTATAATTGTATATCACCACTTTTCTCATTACTCTAGTTTTTGATAGTATAGTATCACTCTTCCAAGCAAATATCTAATGCTATTTCATATTAGAACTTATATGCATGATCCATTGATCATCCTTCCAAGCAAGTATCCCACAAGTTGGGTATAGAGATATTGGTATTGCCAAATATAAAGATGATAGAATGTTGGTATTGTCTTTGAGTCACCCTAACCAGAGGACTTACATGTATAATCTTTTATTGCCTAGACCTTCTGTGATACTGCTATCACATGTAGTACCATTACTTCACAACCTGATCTTCTTCTAGAAACTTCTTATTCTAGTTTCATACTGAACTTGAACTTTCCACAAAGCTTCGCATCTGATTATGGCTTCTGTAGATTATAAAAACAAATTTTATTAAAATTTGTCTCTAGCTTGACTCAAACTGTTGATCTAGTCTGTGGGGGTTTGGGAGCTTAACTAATAAGCTATGGGACCCAAACTCCTTAAAGGATAAATATTAAAATTAGTCTAAAACTAAATTTACTATTTTTTTATTTTAATTATTATTTATATATTAGTATATCTATATTTTAATTAATTTTATAATATATATTCTAATAGTAAAGTAAAAAAAATAATAAATATATAAAATCTATATTTATATTAGTAAAAATAAGCAATTATTTTGTTTTTTTTTTTTTTTGGCATGTCCTGCCACTGTTTTATTAAGGTATTAACCAAGCAAAAATTATAAAAATTCTTGACTATAGTTATTTTTTTAACTATAACAAGTAACTTACTTAACTTAAAAGCCCAGGTACGATATCACCTAGTAGTCGTTTGTTTTTTTCTGAGCCCTAACTTACTAGAGACATAAATTCTTTGATCATTGGCTAATGCTACACACTGTATCAGTATCATCTTTTCTTTTTACAAAATAAAATATGGTATGAGAAGCTTTAAATCTTTATAAAAAATAGCTTTACAAAAAATGCTACTTCTCTTTTAAAAATATATAAAATGTAAAACTAATCCACAAGATTAGTTCTTTTTGCCTTTAAAAACAAAACTTGTGGTTTAAATTTAGATTTAAATTTAAACTGATAGAGCAGTAGCCTTTTAAAGTTTGCTTATTTATTAGGAAATTTGTAAAAAAGTAAATGTATATATTTTCTTCTTTCGACCAATCAGATTGCTTTATACAGACCACATGTTATATTAAATTTTATAAAATTTTTTAATATCAGAGTTAACCGGACAAAAAATTAATTTATTTTTAGTACATGCTCGTACTTTAGGTTAAATGACTATCTACTTCTGTTTTATTCTGTTAAGATTACTAGGAATAAAAAAGTGAATAAAATTATGTGACTGGAGAGTTAAAGCTTTCTGTACCATACAAACACAAATTTAAAGAGCAAAAAAGAAAAAAGGTGTGATATTTTAACATCTAAATTTGATCCATCTATACAAATAAAACCAAAATAACATATAGTCAAACCTCTCTAAATGCAACTCCATAAATGCAATTCCTCCCTAAATGCACATTTTTGTCTTGGCTATATGAAATCATTAGTACTAAATGCACATTCTATATTCTATAAATACAAGTTTACTCAAAAGATTTTTTATATTATACTAACTTCTCTAAATGCACGTAGCCAATCAGAATTCAGTATTAAATTATATTACACAAACCTGCAGATCAAATATTAAAAACTGCAATTTGATTGGCTTTCTCTAAATACAAACCTCTCTAAATGCACGTTTTCGACTGGTCTGTATATGTTGCATTTAGAGAGGTTAGACTGTATAAAAAAAAAAACAAAATAAAAAAAAAGAAAACAAAGATAGCACTATTAAACCCGTCTAGATTGTAAAAATTATATAGTACTACTAAATAAACTATGCTAGTTATTTATATCTATATTAGGATATATAAAATATCTATTTTTGAGTAGAGATACAAGTTCAAAATTTCTTTTGTGGTCCTACCAAGTTTTCAGCATGGTATTCTGCAACGCATTTTTATATTCAATTGCATATTTTCTGGGCAAAGTTGATATCCTAGAAATTTCAGTATAAACACTGCAACCTCTTAAAAAAACTGAACAATATATTTTTTATCTCAAAGTAGATACATATTCCTGTATATGACTTTTTTTTTCAGCAGCAATTGTTGTTGTCGATCTTTTAATAAGGTATACCAGATTTTTTACTTTTTGTCAAAATTTTATAAAAAAAATAGAGCGGGGTCTTGATAGAGGGCTTTGATTTGTGGGTAGCCTTAAACTTTGATAGAAAATGTGTTGAAAACTTGCTTGTTGTTTTCTTTTAGACTAGCTAATTTTAACTTCGTTAGCAGAAGCTATGCTTTTATTAAAATTTTTTGAATAAGGACACCACCTTCTGCCAGTTATCTTGTACAAAAATGTTTTTAACTTGCTTGCTAAATATACAAAGGAGTCTAGATGAAAACAACCTAAAGCCTTGACCTCTATAAAAATCATTATTTTAGTTGTCTTTTCTACTTTCTCTAACAAGTTTTCTATTTTCGTTAGTCAAATATTTAGTACAAGTGATTATTGGAAAGAGTTAAATGTAAACAATTATTTTGTTAAATAATACTAATATTTATTTATTTATTTATTTTTTTTTTGGTGTTAAGGTGGCCTCTTGGCCGGCTCCTTTTATTCGGTTATAGTTAACTTTT